CATTAAGAAAAGAGGCTGTATGTATCAATAAATATATAATATACATAAGATACAATTTTTGTAAGATTGACAAATTTAAAGCAAACTATTTTGATTTAACATAATTATAATTTTTTCTGCTCTTTTTTTTAAGTTGTGATGAATACAGCTAAACCTTTTGTCCTTTTAAATTAATTAATTAGTTTAATAATAAGAATAAAAATAAATAATTACATAAAATAAATTATGTAAAATATAAAATATAGAGATTTCATAGATTATATATTCTCAAAGAAACGCGTTTTAAAAAAATATATTACTGCTAAGAATTATGTCGTAAACAAGATATATGCGTTACTGAAAACAATATCGTTTTCAGGTCTCTTTCAGATAAATTGATTTAATCTATCTGTAAAGAAAAGATGCAAAACTGACGTATTATTTTGATCGATTATCTCTTCGTGATATGCCTGTCGCATAAGTCGTGATAAATCGAAGTCTTAGTCTCCATACCGAGTTGATAAGGCAAACGACCGTCAATTGGATACACGTTCAAGGACAAAAGGTGTCATTATTGTCGGAATGAATCGACAACGAAAATCGCGAGTATGAAAATGCAAATGCTACGACGGCACCGAAAACCGTTTCGTAGATTTATTTGTTTTGGCATCGCGGGATGCACACAATTTACAGGCAGCAAGCCTGATGATAAATCGACGCAAATGAATCGTTTCGCGCCGCGGGCGCTCGTCATCGATTTCGTGTTACGGTCCATCGATTGATTGTGCTTTCCATTTCGTTGACTTGTAATTATGCATCGGTGCATTGAATCAGAAAAAGGATTCGTATATTGAATAATAATTGAATAAGATCTTTTAGAGAAAATTACATTCATTTTATCCTATTATAAATTTCTTTCTTTGTTCTTTAATAATTTCTTCTTTCATTTCTTTTTGTAATTTTTGTTTGTTTTTTTCTTTTGCAAGGTGTAATTTGGCAAATATAATATTATGATATACCAGATGATTTAATCATATCAAGTTTGTTTGTCCTTTTGAATTTTCTGTACAAATTTAAGTAAAAATGATATTATTTGTATTATAGCATTGATATTTATAATTAAAATTAAATATTAAAAGAATCGGTCAAATTAAGACATCAAAGAGTACATTATTTAATATTTAATATTTTTATACTTTCTTTTTATAGTTGTAATTATTTAATTTAAATTAATGTTGAATACATTGTCATATATATAATATAGTATTTTATAATTTTTATTGAATTTTACATATAAACATTTTAAAATCCAACTTTAAAAGAAGTTTTTGTTTTCTTATTGATTTCAATTGGACATGTAATATTATCATAGAAATATAATCTATTATTTAATAAATTAAATAAATAATATTGTAGTTTAGTAGTTATTATTGTTACTATATGTTTATTGTCTTGAATAATTTTAAAATAAAATTGTTTCTAATTTTATCAGAAAAAATGAAAGAAACGCATGTTTTGAAATATATTTTATTTTCTTTTAACTGACATATTGCTTTACATTATTTGATTACGTTATTTCACATTATAGATATCGAGACATGTATCAAATAGTCAAAGAGTTCGATAAATTCTTGGAAACCTTCCCTTATTAAATTACTTTTCTCAGTATTAAATTTTAGCATAAAAGTGTTGATCATGTTGCATCAATAATAAAGAAAAATGTTTTAATTAATTTGTTCTCATGTCTCATAATTATTGTAATATACTAAAATTAGAAATTAAATTCACAAAAAATGCAAACTTTTAAAGAGATACTTCTAAAAAGATATAAGAAAAATTTTTAATTTAGAGAATATCATATAATCGTATTGATTTATTTTTAATTATCGTAAAAATAACGCTTACAATTTAAATAAATAATACAAGATTAGCATTTTAATTAGGAAGTTTATTATAAATTGCTATTATTTTTTTAAAGAGTTATCGTATTATTCATTCAAATTACTCATAAATTTCTTTGCTGCATTGCTAATAAATCCCCGAATTTGACAGGACGTTGAACCGCACGATTAAATTCTGGGAATATGGCCAAATAATTATTCGAAAATTTGCGTGCCGCAAAACGTAGTCATATTACTATTTATAAATCTGTAGGGACAAGAAAGCAAGATCTGATAATATACGCACCCGTTACATGCTCATTTACTTTAAAACAATCTTTATACATTGATTTTTTTCTTTTCCAACAATGTCTTATCTTATGTTTTGAAACTTTCGGATAGTTGAGGTGATGAAAGAAGGCAGAACACGACCAGTTAGTGATATCATTAATTAAGTGTAAAAGCTGTGCAGATATATATTTGATTCATCTCTGACTCATTCCTCGTAAATGTCATTAGCATTTTCTACAAAGTACTTTCATACGTGACCTTAATTGCCCTTAGTTCTCGTTATCACTTCATGAGATTTTCTAATCAATATCGGATCATATGCCTTCTGAAAATTGCAATGAACGTTATATCAAGGGGAATATTCTTTTTATAACGCATTATGCAGAAGATTATATAACATGCGAAGTATATACCAAATAAAACTTTTATATTTATTTTTGTTTTACAATGTAATCGTTTTAATTATCTTATTGCCATAGCTTAATTATTCAAGCAAGAGAATATTAGTTTACATGAGTAATGAGCAATGAGTAATGAGCAATGAGTAAGGTAAACTATAAAATAGCTGGACTATGAAACTTCCTTAAAATACATTTTTTAGACACGGCAAGATGGAGAACCGCTTTCAAGGCAAAGCACCGGAAGATGATGTTCTTGGACAATTACAGCAAACTAATAAGAGACCCTCATTGACTTTAAATATGGGCGGGCTATGGGACGTAGTACCACGATTGGATCATTACAGGTATACAAGTTTTACAAGTTAATTAAATAAGGTTAGGTTATTCTTCAATGCATTGTACAGGTAAAATTAATTACATGTACTTTTCTTTGTCGTTATTCTTTATTGCACATAATTGATTTAAAAAAGAAAAAAGAATTTTTATTTATTTCAAAATTTCCTATGAAAATCACATTTTAGATTATCATCCCACTCATATTGGTATAAAAAGGTGATGACGTTCTCTATGTTTTGTTCGTTTAAGCGATATTGGAAAATCATTAATCTTTTCACGTATATAAACCTATGATGTAAAAAAAATTAATGTTTTTTATACGTTTATTTTTATATATTTTATTCGGAAAGAATTTATTCAATTCAGCGAATATGCTCAGCTAAAAGTAATTTAATTGTTACAATATTACCAATCTTTTTTATAGATTAAGTCGTCGCGCAAAAAGGCCGTCTCTAAGCACTTTGCATGAAGGAAGTCTCATAAAGGTAAAGAAATTTACGTACATTTACGTGCATTATATAATAATATTAAAATCTCAGATGTTAAACAAAAGATCTATGAAAATATTAAAAAGAAAATATAATATAATACAAATCTGATTTAATACAAATCTTTAATTAATGTGTTATAAAATTAAAGCAGCAATAAAAAGTGAAAGCTAAAAATCTTCAAACTTTTACATTATCTTTTTTTTATTAATACTTTAAAAAAGATAAAAGAACGCAAGATAATTTAGATTCTATTTTTTATTTACATATGTATGTAAAAACAGATTTAGTGAGTTTATCAAATGAATTCAGCGATTATCAAATGTTGAATTAATATAAGTTCTTTTAACTGATATAAATTGTATGTGTGTAGGTATGATATCTATTTTTCGCGCGCGTGTCTGTCTCATTTGATATAGTTATCAGTTACTTTATATTGAATTTCTATCAGTACCTTTATCTTCAATATGTATACGTCAACGTCCTATTATTATTCTACGTTTGTTCTACTGTTCTATTTCATATATCAATTTAAAATATTATAATAAAAATATTTTAGATATATATATATATATATATATTTAATTTTAAAATACTAATATATGTAAAAATAATAATAATATGTGCATGTGTTCTTTATTTAAAATTATAATTTCTCTTATTGGTTTTTTATAAATCAAATTTTATAAATCTAAATTTAAAAAATTTTATAAATTAGAAATAATTTTACTAATAAAATACACTTCTGTCTTTCTATTTATAATATATTTAAAGCTTCTACAATAAAATATATATTAAATCTTTCCAGCAATATAAATACAGAAATATAACAACAAAAAAATAAAGTTATCATTAAATAAATCTGTCAAGAAATACATAATGTAAGTTTCCATGGAATGTTTTTATTATAATTTTAGTTTTAAAGCAAGAATATAAATACATTAGTTTTAATCATAATATGAACTCAATGGAATATGGCTTATTGGTCGAATATATTTGAATATATTTTCTCGATTTTTCTTAGTTTGAAAAAAAGCATAATTTAATCTTTCGCTATATTTTCAAGGTGTTTATTTTGATAATTATTTGATAAAATTGATAAAATTGATAAAATTATTAAATAAGCAACATTATTTAAATTATTGTATATAATTATTGTATATAATTATTTTTCTGTTTTCTAAAAAAATATGATCACAGAATTTATTTTATATATCTACGATTAAATTTCTAATTAAAATCATATATAGTTTGAATAAGAACTTCTTTGTACAAAGTATATTTAAAATATTAAAAACGCGATATTTTAATCAAGATTAGATAAGATTGTTTATAAAGCGATAATTTCTATGAAAGTTTATTACGTAGAATGTAACGGAAGTACTTGAAATTTTTGTGAGTAGTGAGAGAATTGCTTCATACTGTGATTTCTCTACCCTATTTCAAAGACGATCGAATTATAGAGGTAACAAAACTAGGCAAAGGGAAACTAGTTTATTAAGTTTACACAGCAGTAAACATCCGTCTAGTAAAATTAAAAAAAGTATCGCGTGGATATACGGTTAATATATGTACATAGTAAAATGTAAAGAGAGAAGATTAAATTAATATATTTACTGCATATAAAAAGAAGTGATTAGATTATAAATATAATTTTAATAAAACACAAAATTATATTTATATAAAATAAAATAAAAAATTAAATAAATAAAAGAAATTTTATTAAAAAATGTATATTACATATACGTGTATGTTTAAATAAAATAAAAATTCTTAATATATTAGCTTCTAATGTACTTGCGATAATATTTAATCTACAGCTAGTTTTACCTTGAACACAAACAAGAGAGTTTGTGAAAATTTGTAATAATTAGTTTTTTTATATTTTCAGTTTTTAACATTATCATTTGATATGTCTAGTATATACTTATGTACATGTATGTATGTACATGTTTGTGAATATGAGAAAAGTTTTATACGTTATTTCCTTTCTTCACATATTCACATTAATTTAATGGGTACATTTGCATAATTAGTAAAAATATATTAATTTTACTACATATTTGAAAAATAAGGAAACATATTTAACCAACTTATTTAAAATTTTATATTAATTCTTTTAAGTAGGAGACAAGAATTAAATCGCCATTCTCAATACTTCTAATAACTTTATCAATATTAATCCCGTTTCCAGCAAATTTGCAAAAACATTAATATCGATTAATGTAACGCAACGATGCATTGTATCTCCAGTTTAAAATTTACGTAATTTTTCAAAATTTTCAAATATTTTGCAATTAATGGAGTTTCAAGAGCTTCTCGTTAGAGCTCTACCTTATAAAAATTATGTGCAATTTACTGGCATAGAATCTATCTAACTTATGTAATTATGTAATTTGTGACGCTGCATGACATCGTTATCAAATTGGTCGACATCGAATTGCGCAACGTAGGCAGTCCAGAATTGAACCTCTAAATAAACTCCTTGTTCCAGGACGCCAATGCTGTCGAGACCGGACAGATCGGAAGCGTCGCCGGTCAGCAGGGTCACGTCGGAATAAAACTAGGATGGATCCAAGGCGTTCTCATACCATGCCTGCTCAACATATGGGGTGTCATGCTGTTTCTGCGACTTTCGTGGGTAGTCGCCCAGGCCGGTATTCTACTAACCATCGTCATTATCGGAATATCGGCGGTCGTCTGCGTCATTACGACGCTTAGCCTCAGCGCAATTAGCACTAATGGGGAAGTAAAGGGAGGTGTGTTACGGTAACGCATTCTGTAATTCTTTTTTTCCGAAGGAGTGGCGTCGTGCACACCATCGCTTTATATATACAATTGTGTCATTAGACGCACGGGGTTTTTCCCCAAGCTGAAAGATTCTCATCAGAATTATTTATCCAATTTAGCTTGAACAATTTATTTTGCTAGAATGAGGCAAAAAATGATTATAAACATGATTATAATTTAACTCTTATATTTTATCATGTTTCTTGTCTATTAAAGAAATTATTCATGGGAAAATATTAATAAATAAACATTAATAAATGACAGAGATAAAATTGTTAATTTAAAAGAATGACAATTATTTTAAACCCATTAAAAAAATTGAATGTGCAGGCAATGGAAAGAATTTTGAATTTTATGCCATTATAAAATAAATATTAATTTTAGTAGACTATTATTTTTTTCAAAGTGTAAATTTTCAAAGTGTTGCAAAATTCTATTTCTAATTCTAATTATAATTTTAAATGAATTCGTCGTCTGGTAATATCCTATCAAATTTTTAATGTTATAAAATTGATTCACAATTCAAATAGTTATCCTGTATTAGATCTACAAAATATTTTGAAATATATAGTATATGGAAAAAATGTAGAGCACATATATACTTATTTTTATGTTTATAGGAAAACTTTTGATGGTTAGTCATATTTAAAAAATAATCGATTGATTTATACAGGTGGAATATATTTCATCATATCTCGTTCTCTCGGGCCTGAATTTGGAGCATCAGTGGGCATCGTCTTTGCGTTTGCAAATGCTGTAGCTGCATCTATGAACACGATCGGTTTTTGTGATTCCTTGAATGACTTGCTGAAAACATACAATTTGAAAATCATAGATAATGGTTTAAATGACGTCAGAATCGTCGGTATAATAGCGCTCGTCGTTATGATTTTTATCTGTGCAGTCGGCATGGAATGGGAATCAAAGGTATTAAATCTGTGATATGTCGTCGAATTATTTAAGTTTTTTTAAAAATAATAACGTTTATAATTAAGATTAATAATTAATTAAATTTTAATTAAAAAATGCAAATGTTTATTTTGATTTATTATTAATACTCTGTAATTTTTATTAGGCACAAAACTTTCTTATAGCTGTCATCGTGGGTGCAATCTTCGATTTTTAATTGGTACTATCATGGGACCACGAAATGAGGAACAGCAAGCAAAAGGTTTCATAGGATTCTCTGGTAAGTATGAAGGCTAAATAGAAAAAATGTTAATATTGAAGTATCTAAAAATTTGTTTGGCTACAAATAATTTTATCGGATTATCAAAATAATTATGTAAAATGCTTAAGCATGATAATAATACTGTAAGCATAATAATAGTAAAAATTTTGATATTCTACTAATTAATTTGAACATTCTACATAATTATTTCTACATAATATTGATAGCCCAATCAAATTATTTGTAGATCTAAGTATTTGATTTAATTTTTACATATTTCAGCAAAACCATTTTTTTTGTGTAATGAAGTGATAATGATAATACAATACACGAGATAAATTAAATAAAATTATTGTATCAAATAGATTGTTTTAATAACTAAAAATATATTATTTTTAGTGGATGTATTTAAGGACAATCTCTACTCGGACTTTCGACGCTCTGAGGGCCAAAATCAAACGTTCTTCTCGGTATTTGCCATTTTCTTCCCATCTGTTACCGGGATTCAAGCAGGGGCTAATATATCCGGCGACTTGAAAGATCCAGCGAGCAGCATACCGATGGGGACTCTTCTCGCTTTACTGATCTCCATGCTTAGTTATGTAACGTTTGTCTTTTTCGCCGGTGCTGCGGCTCTTAGAGACGCAGGTGGTTTTGTGAACAATACTATTGTGGAATGCGGGAACAATTGCACGTATGGACTACACAACAGTTACGCGGTATGTATTTAAAACAATAACGAATAAAGATAAAGTGAGTTCCAAAATTGTTATGCGCTCTTTTATTTAAATAGTAAATAGTAAATCAAAAATAAAATAGTATATGGAAAAAATGTAGATTAAATAGTAAATAGTAAATCAAAAGTAAAATTTCTCAAAATCAAAATATCAATTTGTGCAAAAAGATTGATCCGTTTTAAATTAAAGATCTGAATTTGAAAATTTGTCTATTAATGTTGCTTAAGTTAAGTAGTTTTAAAAAAACAAAGTAGTTTTAAAAAAACAGATAACAGAAACATAATTATGACATTGCATTCCTCAACTAATTGCTAAGTGCACTTTGTTTTTGCGAAAATATCCAATATCAGACTCTGCAGAAATATTTAATATTTTTATAAAATATTTTTGCAAACAAAATGAATGTGTAATATTTATTGCCTATCAAATGTTTAATTTATAAATATTACATTTAAATTTGCCATGGAAATATCGTAATTGTCGGATATTTCATTTAATAAATTAATTATTAATATTTTAATATTTTACATAAAATGTTTATCTTTTTCAGGTCATGCAATTGATGTCAGTTTGGGGTCCGCTTATTTACGCGGGATGCTTTGCCGCTACTTTGTCGACAGCGCTGACGAATTTATTGTCAGTGCCGAGGCTCATTCAGGCCCTGGGTCAAGATCGAATTTATCCCGGGTTGATTTATTTCAGCAAAGGATACGGAAAGTCCGGAGAACCATATCGAGGATACGTCCTCACATTTTGTGTTGCTGGTCTCTTTCTGTTAATCGGTAAAGTATCGAAATATTAAAGATCCATTGGCAGATATCGAATTTCTATTATCATTAATTTTGTTTCTTAAAAATTTCTTCTTTTTCAGCCAATCTCAATGTAGTCGCACCGCTCATCTCGAACTTCTATTTAGCGTCGTATGCCTTAATTAATTTCTGCACTTTTCATGCAGCGTTAATTCGACCACTCGGGTGGCGGCCCAGTTTTAAAGTAAGTTAGATTTAAATTAATATAAAAAAGCAGTACAAGAATTTAAAAAATTAATCTTAAAGAGGCTTCTACATCACAATACTATTTAATATTATAAGATATAGATAAGATAAGATCTTTTTCTTTACATGTGGCATATATTTGAAGAAAATTTGTTACAATTAAAAAGAAAGAATTAAAAATAACATGATTTTTATTTATTTTCTCATGTATAGCACTTTATGCCTCGTGTTTTTAAATTAATTATTTTTCATTAATTAAAAAGGATTAACGGTAAAAAAGAAGTATAGAAAAAAATGGTTAAAGAAGTATAGAAAAATTAGGTCTCTTAGTCTTTGCGATAAGAAATTATTAATCTCTTAATTTTTTTCTTTTATAGTACTACAATACTTGGTTGTCTCTTATTGGTTTCATCCTTTGCGTGGCAATTATGTTCCTTATCGATTGGGTGACTTCTCTCGTTACCTTTGTCATCATCTTCGCACTATATCTGATAGTAGTTTATCGTAAACCAGACGTCAACTGGGGTAGCAGCACGCAGGCGCAAACTTTTAAGACTGCAATTTCTATCGTCTATAGGTATCATTAAAAAATGTCTTCTGTTTGCATTTCTCTTAATCGGATTCTTTGCTTTCTATAGATTCTTTGATTAATAATACATCATTTTAGATTTATCTTTGTATTACGATATAAGAATTACAAAATAAGATTTTTAATCCAAAATTTATAATAATTTCTAGGTTGAATTCCATCGATGAACACGTGAAGAATTATGCTCCTAAAATTCTGGCACTTACTGGCCCGCCTAGTGCGAGACCTGCTTTGATACATTTAGCGAATCTGATTACAAAAATAATTCGTTACTAATTGCCGGTGAAGTCTTTCCGGTATTATTTTGATTGCAACATAATTTTATTGTTATCACTATTCATTTGTGCGAAAAATTACGATATTAAATTATAATTTCAGACACGATTATCGTATCGATTACGCTCTGTACGTCTAAATAATGGTTCTTATTGGTTGCAACAACAACGTATAAAATCGTTCTACCACTTGGTGGATGATTTGAATCTGGAACGAGGTGCTGCTGCGCTAATGCAGGCTACCGGAATTGGCAAGTTAGCTCCCAATGTGGTTCTTATGGGTTACAAAACTCATTGGTCATCGTGTAATCATAAAGATCTACAAGAATATTTTAACATTCTTCAGTAAGTCGATTGATTGTCTAACATGGAATTATTCTATTATAAAATAGCAAATTAATAATTTCAAACATCACATGTTAAATGATATTAACATTTACTTTTTCTAGCAATGCTTTTGATAACAAGTTAGCTGTAGCAATCTTGAGAATTGCCGAAGGTTTGGATTGCTCCAATATTACCAATGGAGAAGACACGAACGGAGACGATGAACAGGGAATTCTTGCACAAAGTAGCTATAATTTGGCGGGAAATACTCTCATGCACGCCGATAGCAATCTTTCTATGAGTACGCAAATTCCAAGAGTACAAAGTGTGCCAACGATAGGTAAGAATCGATATTGAGTTAAAATGGAATATTTTATTTAGTCCTATCTTATTATTATTATTTATTATTATTTTCAAACAATTGCATTATTTCGTCGTTTAAAAAAATGGTCCTATTCTGTGTAAACATAATTAAGTAATTTGTGAAATTAAAATTAACTTATAATAAAATAGCTATAAAGCTATAATTAAAAGATGCAGTAAATTTTTTAACATAATTATGTTTTCATTTTATATATGTATATACTCGTATATAAAGATAAATTATTTCATTCTTTGCGAATATATTTTTATATCTAAGCAATTTGTTAGATAAAAATTAGAGTATAAAGAAAGTCATAAAGATATAATAAAAACAATAAATTTTTAAATATGATTGTATTTTTCACATATTTTAATTTGATACCATTTTGTAGGTACTCCGTTTGTTACACCTGATACGACGCCTGTAATTGGATATTCACCAGTACATTGGAAAACTCAAGAAAACTTAAAACACAAGAAAAAACATATTGTTGATAAATTGCTGTAAGTAAATTAGCTGAACATAGTTTTATATTCTGTTAAATATTAATAAAAATTTTCTTTGATATTTATAATTGATCAATCTTTTTCTACTTACTTAAAATTAATAATATTTAAAAAAGTTTGTATTTTATTTTATATTTATATTTTATATTTTAAATTTATATTTGAACTTTTGAAGTTTACATCTATACATTTACGCATTTTTAATTTTCAAAATTTAATATTTTCTCGATTACAAATATTTCAAATTTTTATTACAAAAGAAATTTGTTTCAATTTTGGAATAAATCTTTATTATCATCAAAATATTCATGAAAAAAAGATTCACGAAAAGATATTATTTAAATTCACTTGTCGTTAACTATTGAATAACTCAATTATTTCAGTGAGAGACGAAATGGCGGAATGGCTTCTATACCGGAAAATGTAACATTTTTCCAACAGAAATATAAGAAAGGAACTATTGATGTATGGTGGCTATATGATGATGGAGGTAATTCATAAAAATAAATTTAAGCGGATGATTGAGATGTGTCAATTGAATATTGATTCTCAATCATCCGCATAAGCTGACTAGAATTTCTGACTTATTTGTAAGTGGAAAAAGTTATTATTTGACAGGTCTGACGATCCTCCTACCGTATATAATCAGCACGCGCTCAAATTGGAAACACTGCAAGATGAGGATATTTGCTTTGACTAACCACAAACATGACATCAGTGCGCAAGAAAAAGAGTAAGTAGATGAAGGTAGAGCTTTATAACAAATAAATATTGATAATATTCTGACAAAATTATTTTCAGCGAAAGATATTAACTTATATCAAAATACTTCATTTCTGTCTATTAACTACTGTATTATTGTCTTGTAGAATGGTTGAAATAATGAACAAAGCGCGAATAAGATATAATAGTTTGAAAATAGTAGATGATATCGGTGTTGAATTGAAAGAAGAGACGCAATCTTTCTTTAATAAATTAATATCCGATTTTCGAATAAACGATTCTTCTGAAAATACAGGTAAGTTATTAACACAATTTTTGTAATATTTTACAATTTTTAATAATATATCTCAATGTATATCTGATATTCAATAAATAATTATGATTTTTAGAATGTTATATTACTGATCGTGAGCTTCAAACATTACGAGATAAAACACATCGACAATTGCGACTGCGAGAATTATTATTGGAAAACTCGAGTCAGTCCACCTTAGTAGTTATGTACGTAATATTATAATTATATAATTATTAAGTATTAAAATAATCTTTATATAAAATTAAATATATTTTCATTTTTCGTACAATAATTTCTGTTTTGAATTAAATTCGTAATAAAAGTATTTATTTCTTTTATTTAGTAGTCTTTTATTTTTGTAATATAAAGATGAAAAAATATAAACAACTCTATTTAAATATTCTTAAAAGTATATCGAGAATATAAGATCATATTGATTCGATTGTACAAATATATAACTCACGTACACATCCTAGTATTATTTTTTATTTTTTGTATCATACTTTATATAATTCTTTTTATATTATTAACAATTTTTCAAGAAAACTTTTTTTATTATTCATAGGTCTTTACCAATGCCAAGAAAGGGAGCAGTTTCGGCACCCTTATACATGGCCTGGTTGGAAACACTTACAAGAGATATGCCACCCACAATTTTAGTCCGCGGAAATCATACATCTGTATTGACGTTCTATTCGTAGTCCACCGAATATCTAGTTACATTTGGTGCGTTTCAACAATATACAAATCTTAATCAATAAATCAATTTGCAATTTCTAATATTATTTAAAAAATACGTCTTCTCTGAAAAAATAGAATTTTTATAATTGTACTTTTGTAAATACCTTTGATAGTCTTTCTTCATAATATAAATATTCTATTCGAGATCATATTCGACATCATAAAACGTATTGTATTTTTTATAGATATTTGCCATTTTTTTGCGCCAAGTTTTAAGAATGACCTTGCATCGTTCACGCTAAAGTGAAGAAACGGCGTGACCTAAGATGCTGATAGCTGATTTATAAAATCGCTAAACTTAAAAATTGCAATGACAAGTATAACGAAGGATGAAGAGAGGATGAGAATCTTATTGAGACCATGATCTAGTATAATCCTCGAACGTGTGCGAGTATGATTTGAGTGCTTCATATGAACAATGTGTTGATGAACATTGTTCAGCGAGAAGATATGTGAGAAAAAAGTCTCTTGACAGAATGAGCGAATGCCTTATCTCTAGAGTAATAAATGACAGAGACATTTTTCAAGCCGAAAAAGTCCCAATTTGTTAATGAATAGTTACACGTCAATAATGCATTGAATTTTGACAAAAAAAAGAACTAGAATAACAAAAATAAAAGAAGAAGAGATTGATTGAGAGACAAAATGAAAAATGAAGAAATAAAGAAGAAGACACAAAATAAGAATATATTTCAGAAAGTTTCATTGTGATCGAAACGAGATGAAAAATATTCACTAGCGCCAATACTGTAAATATAGCTTGATTGTTTTTTATTAAGTTTATTAAGTTTATTAAGTTTAAAAACTGTAATAAAATTTCTCTAATACAATGTAATTATTTAAGATTTTAGATATTATTAAAGTCATTTAAAAAGTTCTTAGCTTTTTCTGATTTTATTTTTATTTAAATGCAAATTATATCATTCTTTAGCTAAAAAAGGATCACTTTTTATTTTTCAAATTTTAAACATTTTTGAAAATAGTGAATAAACAACGATTAAACAATTAAAATAAAATTAAAATTAAGACAATGTTTGTCAAAAGACAAATAGTAGTAATACATATAACTAACGAGAAAAATATTTTTATAACTCTGTTTGTCTTATATAGAGAGATATATATTTATTTATTTATTCCAAGTAATACATTTAATTTTTATTTAATAAAATAAACTTTATTTAATAAAAATGGCAAAGATTCTCGTGTAATCATTTTGACAATTAACTTGGGCCAATAAAATTTAAAATGATGAGCATAATTAATAAACATAAATACTTAAAAAATCAATATTTTAAGAATTTTTAAGTATCTTTTTCAGTTTTTTTGTTTATGATGATTGGAGTCATTCTCAGTTCAAAAAGAATAAACAATAGTGACACATACAATTTTAGTAAAAAAAAAATTAATAATTAATAAAAAAATTTGCGAAAATAAATGTAAGCTTATCTCTTTTATACCTCGCTTTAAATTGTAATTGTTGTACTATAATTTTTATTTTTACTCTCAATTGCATGTAACATCTATCCGCCACTCTTGCTCTTACAACATACTGTCCCACTCGCATTCGTGATAACAACCTCCAAAAACAAAGTAAAGTTAGAACTGAATCCCTCCCAAGCTCTTATATAAAATTGTATTTTATGTATTGTATAAATTGTATTTATCTTCTTATTTTTTTGATTTTTCAATATGACTTTTTTATAATATTTTATAATATATATTTTTTTAATTTAATTTTGTTTTTATCTATTTAAAAATATATAAATCTATAAGTACATAATAAGTACATAATATAAATTTTTATGATAATAATATACATTTATTTATATATTTTGTATGCATTTATGTGATTTTATATAACATAAATAAACTGTGAAATAATTTGTAAACAATATTCATTACAATATTATAAAAAAGTTGTTAAAAAATGGATATATTAAAAAATAAAACATAAAAACATAAAAAAATATAATTATATTTTGAGGACAGATTTTTCTTGCTTTTGTTTATATATTTTCTATTTTTAAATAAGTAATAAGTTTTCTAATAAAATAAATATTCTTTACATAATTTCATTTTTTATATTCCTTTTTGTTAATATAAATGAAACAAAAATAAGTAGATTATTTTTTGGTAATTGGTCTTTAATTTTTTAGAATCAGACTTTTCAAATCTATTGCTAAAACTTTAATTATTCTAATTATTATGTAATAATTCTATTATAAACATATTTATTATAAATGTATTTATTAAATATTATAAAATACATAAAATATGTTGAAAAGAAAATTTAATGGTTGTAAAAATAATTTAATAAAAAAATTGTTTTAGTAATGGTTTGACAGAAGATTCAATTCCGGTGCACTTTTTATATAATTTTTTCTGAGATACAAAGCTGCGGCCGTCAAGTTTCGAACGATAGTGGAGGAAACTGTAGGCGTCGCCTTCGAAATTGAGCCGAAAAAGATAACTAATTCCGAGCACTGTATTACAGGTTACTGTATATCTATATTCATTAGTCTAATTTAAATTTTTAGAAAATTTAAACATTTTTAATAAACAATAAATCAAGACCAAATATTATTAAAAAGAATGTTATGTTACATCTGTTTAATCCAATAAAAATTCTGAAATTAGAAAATAAAAATACGATATAGCAAGTTATTCTTTTTTGTTAAAATTTCATAATTTTATAAATTTTCCCATTGGAGATTCTTCTTTGTAAAAAATTTCTGTACTATTTTTACGATTTTTGAATAATTAAAAAAAATTTATTATTAAATAAATTATTATATAAATAAATATTTGCAAATAAGTATGACTTTAAAGACAAGAATAACTGCGCGATGAGAAGAGATAGCCCAGCGTTATATATATTGTTTATGATTTACTATAGTTGTTTGTAAAGTACAACTCCAAATATCCCAGCACGCTTCTTAGCAACCTCTAAGGCGCATGAGTTGTCTTTATAAGCGAATGCACTTTTTCGCAAATCTTTAATTATTATTTTCTTATTAATATTATTGCAAAAATTGTAAAATGATACAAGACTGTTTTATTCAGTTTTACTCAGTTTTGCTAAATCTGTCCAAGAAAAAGAATCCGCCAATTACACCTCGTATAATATATCTCTGGAAACCAGCAGTTCTTCCTCCATAGTTATCATCAGATGATAATTATGATACAAATGATGGTGATCAGTAAATACAATTATACAAGTCTATTTTTTTATTGTTGTATTAAATCACATTAAAATTTTTCTCTCTCAATAAACTTCGAATATATATATATATATCTTCTATCTCATTTTAAATACAGCAAGTAAGTACACTAATTTAATTATAAAAGATAAACTTTATATTTACTACAGCTTTTATTTAAATAATAAATAGAATTGGTGATAAATGAAGTTGATAAAGTTAATAATAACTCTCAAAGCTGAATATAACGCATTCACTACCTATGATGTATTAAAAGAATCATCTTCAGTCATGTCTGGCATTCCCCTAAGGTGCCATCTTTTCTTTCACTTTACAGCTGAGGGGAGGACTGCGACGCTTCGCTCAACCTTCACTATGGCAGCGAGCGCGTTAAACGATTGTCAGAAATATAGAAATCTTCCTGCCACATTTACGAGTTCGCTTTTCAAGTTCATTTTCTGTCGCAGTCCCATTTGCTGGCATCAAAGAGAGATGTTGGCAATGCTCCGTCTATTCATAGTACGTCTATGAGTGGAAGTCGTGGTTTCTATGATGCGTGCGACGAGAGATATGTCTTCCGTGTGTTCACTACGTCGTACCGATTAATTAATACGGGTTCTCGTCGTTCTCTCACCGTTCCACGGAGATAAAGTAAAGTTTATCGCTGCCAATATCGGTGTAAGGCTATACGTCTTCGATATAATGTCTTGCCTTACCTTTGCGCGGTGGATCCCGTTGGGAGAATAAGCGATGACTCCTTCGAGGAGTGACAGTTGTACGTTCAATCCCGAAGTAAGCTGTGGCAAAAGAAACTGGTGTTCTTCAAGGAAATAACATTACGTACTCGTTTTCATATCCCAAAAGGTGAATCAATTGTTAGTATTTCGGCGTCTCAGTTGGAATGTAATGTTTGACTATTCTATTCATGAGCAGGTACTCGCTAAGTTCGATTCTCCGGGGTATTCTAGAGAAGAGAGAAATTCTGAAGAAAACCGCCGTTTGCCTGACCGGCAGTGAAGTTCCAAACAACATGCCTTCTGTTTGTGGCGATATGGTCGATACTGGGGCTGGTAAATAATACATTTTTATCCGTTATTACAGTTATTTATGTGTAATATCACCTCCCGATGTAGCAGCTGCGTAAATACTTTCGTTATATAAGAACGATCTTGTGCAGCTGCCTCGCAATCAGGCGTCATGGAAGGCATCCCCAGTACAGATAGCGTAGGAACGCACAGTGATATATCAGGGCACACAACGGTGCCGGGGAGACCCAGGATGGACGTAGCCTGCGTATTGGACTTGCAACAATCGGAACATCTTGCTCAACGGAAGAAAGCGTTAGATGAAGTTAGACAGGCCTGCAATTTGGTCAATGCCAATATACATCATATCCAAGTATGTTTTTTTTTTTTGTATGAATCGGCCACTTTTTTAAATAACAGCAGAATGACAAAATACATACATTTTTAATGAAAATCGAGTTGGAGTAAAAATGTGACGAAAATAAAGAGCAAACTGTTGCAATCTTAATCAGTTTCAAAACAATTTTTTATCGCGCAAACTCGAGCGCTAAATAATTTAATATTTTTTTGTAGTTTCAAATTATAAAAGTAAAGAATATAAGAAGAATATAATTTTTGTTTCTGCTTAATTTTTCATATATCTTTTCCAGTTTGAGAAACTTGATTTTGGCGAAACTAATGTTCTGGACACATTTTATAACGCTGATGTGGCGGTTGTGGATTTAAGTATTCAATTGCAACAATCTGCATTGTTTTATCATCTCGGTGTTAGGGAGAGTTTTGGAATGAAGGAAAATATTTTGCTGTATAATGATATAGACACGGAAGCTACAATTAGACTTAAGGTATGTATATACATGTACACGTATATTTATGTTTTTTTCACTACTTTTAGAATATAAATGCGCATAAGTCTTGTACACTCATTGAGATGCTAAATATAATACACTGGTAGGAAGGCATAAGTGACCTTGATCATTTATTAGATTTAGAATGCACTTTATGGCAATGATCTCAATTCATGTTCTTATAAATAGATTGATTTACACTATGTATTACTATATTGAACAAAACTTCAACTTCTTTCTGTACTTCTAATACTGAAAATATATTCATTTTTAAATAATTTTCTCTCACATAAAATTGTTTATAACATATAAAACATTTTATTTTATTTCAATTAACTTTTAAAAAATATATATTATACATATAAATTAGAACGTAAAAATAATTAAAAAATATCAGTTTTATTATGTACTTTATTTATTACGCGAGCAGATCAAACTTGTTGATTTAGTCACTATAGCATTTATAACATTTATTTGAATTTTTAATTATTACTTAGCTATATTAATGTAATTAATATCTGTCCGTTGATTTAATTTTCTGCAAAACTTTTAAAATATTTTTCACGAGCTTCGAAAACATTTGTTATTTTTACTATGATCGGTGACAAACTAACGCGTTGCGTGCGGAACGATATTCAACGTCAGACTGCCGCGGGCTAAACGTAATCGATACCATTCAGATGAAACACTGTCTCTGCCTGTAAGGCAAGCACCAAATATGTAATTCCGCTCAATATGGAATAGAAAAATGTGAGATCACATTCTCAATATAGCAGTTACTTAATATAGCAGTTGACACTACTCGATCGTTTGCAGTTATCCGCGATCGCTTGATAGAATGTGTAACTGAATTTTTAGATGCGCGCATTTCGTATTTATGTTACGTCCGGATTGTTAATTTAATCTGAACTTATCATATTAAATAATTTGTAACAATTTGTAAGAACTCAAAAAGTTTTTAAGTGGGCATATCGAAATTAATATGATGTAAATTAATATATGTAGTAAATAATCATGAAATAATGGATTGCACATAAAAAGTTAATAAGGTGAAAAGTGAAATAAAAAATTGGATTCGATGATCAATTAAATTCAGAAGTTGTGAAAGTATAATACAGAGAAGATAGAAAGTATAATAAGAGATATACAAATAACTTTTTCTTATGATTTTTAATCAATTATTATTTTCCCAATTTATTATTGTTTACAATTTCTTTTAATAGTGGCATTGTGTAATATTTTCATGAAACTAACTTATACAGAAACATCTTTTTTGGTACAGTTATCTTGTGGCAGCTACACATTTGTTTCGTATCGCGTTGTGGAATCCTGTGGCTCATGTGTAGCTACCAATCCAGCAACCAGCAGAATCACAGGCGAAGAGACAATAGATCCTAAACAGCATCTTACTTTGAAACTAAAGAAATTGTTTCAAGATGTGGAAATACAGTCCAAGTAAGTAAATGTGAAAATCTTCATCAGTATAAGTGGAAAATATTACTGTGAGAGTTTTCATCAATATTCTGTATCAAAAAATGAACATCTTTAATATGTTAACGTGAGAAATGTTTTTATTAAAATTTCCAGAGCGCACATGAAGGAGAAATTTCTGGCAGATTTACGCAAGGCACGTGAGACATATTCCGGAGAAGAACTGTCTAGAGCTCTAAACAACATGCGTAAACGTTTAGATGATCCCAATGTTTTATCAGGAGAAGTCGTTTTAAACGTTCTCATTTCATTTCGGGAAATACAGGTAAAATAATGACAGATTAATATTTATATATATATATATATATATATATATATATATATATGTAATATTATTGTTATATTTACAGGTTCAACCTAACGAATATGCTGGCATAAATCTTGCTACTTTATTAGTCATAGCTGGAAATGAATTCTCTAAAAGCGAGGAGTTACAACACATAGGAATGGTATTAAATAATCTAATCGGCAAGAAGGGCAGTTTACCGAGTTTAAAGGATTATTGGGATGTAGCAACGTTTTTTGAAATTAGTGTTTTGGCAGAGGATTATTCGAAGGCAATACAAGCAGCCGAATGTATGTTTAAGTTGAAGCCACCAAATTGGTAGGTATCCGAAAAGTAAAGCTAGACTTATGACATTCAGTAAAAGACATAGTATGTTTAAAATTCAAAATAAAGTATATATGTAAAATTTATTTTAATTAATTAATGTACACTTTTAGGTACCTGAAATCGACAATTGGCAATATATCACTGATAGATAGGTTTCGTAAAAAAAATGAGGAAGCTGAAATTGCGCCGGAGGAACAAATATTCAGTTTCTGGATGGACTACTTTGTCGAAGCTACAAAGCCGGAAGTTGGCGATAGTATACGGTTTCCAGTAAGTTGATAAATGGAATCGTTCTACCGAGGATCCAGTTTCCAATTCGGGAGATTATGGCTATATAGTTATGTGTTACCAATCCAGCTTACTTCTGTACATTTTGGGTCAAAGTAAGAATAATATAAAACTGCTCTTAGTGCAGGTTCATGAGTTCACTCTTAAGAGAATCAACTTCCCATTTTAATAATCTTTCTAAAGTAAAAACGCTTAACACATTACGATATTTTTATTAGATTTTAGTGTTGGAACCAACCAAGATTTTAATGCCGAGTTACGTGAATGTAAATCTGGGAGCAGAGGAGAAGTCTATACAAATATGGAATTTGTGTCTGGATAACATGAGAAACAATTGCAAACAAGTTCACGATTGGTTGTTCACTGCGAATATGATACGCAGCGTAAGCCTATATAAGAGAGACGAAAGATGTCTCTTTCTGTACGTTCATCAGAACTCGGATGATTTTCAAATGTATTTGCCATCAGTACAATGTAGACAACGATTTTACGATTTAATCTTAGAGATGACTAGGGATCAAGAAGGCATGGTTACAGATTTGGATGCTTACATGACTGATGATCGCATGAAGGTCTTTATCCATTTTTTATATCATTTTTATCATTATTTGTATTGTATTTCATATATAATCTCTAATTCTTTTAATGATTTGTATATTTATAGTTCGAATACGAATTGGATGATCAAAATAAGCGCATAATTCTCGGCAAAGGTACATATGGCGTGGTGTACGCAGCACGCGATTTAAATACGCAAGTCAGGATTGCAGTAAAAGAAATTCGTGAACGAAACTTGGGTGACGTACAGCCTCTTCACGAAGAGATCAAATTACATAGCCAGTTGAGACACAGAAATATTGTTCAATATTTGGGTTCCGTAAGCGAGGATGGTTATTTTAAAATCTTTATGGAACAAGTTCCCGGAGGTAGGAAAAGAATAAAACAACAGTTAAAAAAAATATATCTATTTATAAAAATTATTTTTCTAAATATATATAAATATTTATAAATATATATTCATAATTTTTTCATAATTTTCAGGAAGTTTATCAGCTTTGCTAAGGTCGAAATGGGGTCCTTTAAAAGAGAATGAATCAACTATCTCATATTATACCAAACAAATGTTGGAAGGCCTTAAGTATCTCCATGATCAAAAAATCGTTCATAGAGATATAAAAGGTAAAATGTAATTTTTGCAGAATAAATGAATATTATATTTGTAAAAGATTGTATTCCTATTTTTATAATTATATCTTTGTACAAATAAGTTTATATGTATGCTTCAGGTGATAATGTGTTGGTAAATACATACAGTGGAGTTGTAAAGATTTCTGATTTCGGTATGTCCAAGCGTTTGGCTGGCTTATGCCCGAGTACGGAAACATTTACTGGAACGTTACAATATATGGCGCCAGAAGTTATTGATAAGGGTCAACGTGGTTATGGTGCACCTGTGAGTTTATATTTAGTTAAATGCTTTGTTTTGAGAATATTTTTAGAATAATGATATATTTTCTATCATCACGCGATATTAATAATTATTAATAATTATATATAATTATATTAATAATTATTTAAATTTATTCTAGGCGGACATTTGGTCTTTGGGTTGCACGATAGTTGAGATGGCAACTGGAAAGCCTCCCTTCATCGAACTAGGTTCTCCACAAGCAGCTGTTTTTAAAGTAAATCTATAATATTTAACATCCTTACCATAATACAATCCTTACCTTAAGTTATCAAAATTAAAAAAAAACTGATAAATGTATGCTTTTTTTTATAGGTGGGATATTATAAAATACATCCCGAGATACCATCAGAATTATCAGAGAGAGCAAAAAGTTTTATATTGCGCTGTTTTGAGCCAAATCCCGATATAAGAGCAACAGCGGCGGAATTGTTGGAGGATCCATTTCTTAATGAGTATATAAATTTAAAGTATAGTATTGAAGAATTTTACAAGTTCCTAAAATTCATATAATGAAGTGTTTAATTATGTAATAGGAAAAAGAAGAGCAGCAGATTAGTTGCACCACCAGACTTTAGCAGAAGTATATCGGTTCCTGCAGACAGATTGGAACGTTTGGGGAAATGCGATAAAACAAATAATAATCATATCGTCGCAGCCATACCTATACAGATGTCTCAGTCGGATGATAGGTATTATAAAATTTTATCTTTATTGCCAATGTGCCGTTTTGTGTGAGCGTTTTTGTGACAATCTGTGGCGTTCACATCTTTGTATTGTTATATTCTCATTTACTGTTGTTACTCTCATTTGATATTTCATTTGTATTAAGTAGTTGATATATCATTTTATATGTTGCTGGGTAATTGCCAGATCAACATCAAGACATACTATTTGCAAAAATAGCTACGAAATGCTATTTGCAAAATTCAATTGCTTTCACGTAACAATATCATATATTATCAAGACGCAATCAATTTACATTGTTTATTGTTATATATAGTATAAATTACATATATTTTTATTAATTATTTGTAAATGTTTATTATATATTTTGTAATATTCTAATAATTATATCATTGATTAAAAATGTTTTATCCAAATTGCAACATTCTACAAAGAATACGATACAAGAGTATAGTATTTGTTTATATAAATGCACATTGTGAATTATAATTATAAAATGTTAAATTTAGTGGAGGGTTAACGAAGTCAAGCCCATTGAGGGGACGAAGTCCGGCTCATCTATTGTCCCCCATCAGCATGCCTACTACAATCCTCTCTTTTAACAGGTATGGTTCTAACTTCGTTTACACATGCAAAAAAATTATAATTGAAGGTATAATTTGTTCATTGATTATTTATTCATAAATCCAAGTTACCTCTCATCCAAAGAAATAGAAATATAAGTTCTTTATCATCATTACTACATGTATAATATGCTTAATTATTCTTTTTAAGTTATGCTTATGTTTAATAATATGTTTAATAATATGTTTAATAATATCAAAATTATCTCTGATTATGCTATTATTCGCGCTTTATGTGCGCTTACGCTATTAAATGTTCGTGCTGCGTAATATTTCAATATAAGTAAATGGAGCTTTATATACGTACAAATCATATTCATTTCGCGATTTTTTTATTTTGTGCAAGTGATGGCATATTTTTAATTACATTAACATTAATATATTAGATATTTTAAGATATTATTTTAAATGAAATAATATAAATATATAACATATTTTATTTTGGGCTTTAGAGAAGGAGAGATTTAGTTTTTCGATATATTACAACATATATTAACTTATAATTGCTTTGCTAAATACAAATAACGATTATTACATAATAAGTCTGCTGCAATTTATGCAAATACAGTATATTAAAAATTTTAAGTAAAGTAATTTTTAACATTTGTAAATTTTATAATTATATAGGTCCTATAGTTCCTTAAATAACCTAATTCCTTAAATAATTTATATCCTGAAAATGGGCGGATTTGTTTTAATGTATACATTAAATTAAATATATAATAATGATGTGTGTTTTTATTATAAATATTATTTGTAATAGATATGTATTATATTCATCTTTTCTATATTATATGATATAAAAATAACTATATTTTTATAATTTTTTACAATTTTTTACTATATATTTTTACTATATATTTATAAATAAAGGATAATAATTATTTACATAAAATATTTAAAATACTATTAAATACTATTACTAATTTATCCTTTTTACAATTGTACACCACACGTTAATACGATTTTCTCATACTTAACGTTAATAAAAGATTATCATATTGATAAACAGAGATTTGAAAAATTTAAAAGAGATTTGTGATATATAACGTCATATATAAGATTGTTGTTTTACATCTTTTTAGTACGATAGGAAATACTCCATCGATAGAAACTAGTGAAACTGATACAGCTGGTGCTTCAATAACGAGGAGAAGTTCATCTGGTGGATTGTTATCACCAGAAGTTGAATTAGGAGGTAAATATATACAGTAATTCTTGATAATTTTGTAAAATTATTATTAAAATTATTATTAATTGTTTACAAAAGAATTTTAATAAAAATTTCTTAACATCACAATATATATAAATAATATAATTATGAGCAAATGCATGAATAAAATTGCGAACTCCATTTGCTCAAGATTTATTATAATATGATTATTTATTTATATTTATGAAAAATTGGCATAAAACAGGACAACCAGGACAAAAATCTGGAGAAGAGCAAGAGGGTTTTTATTTATTAAAGAAGGATAGCCAAAGGCGTATGACGTTAACGAGGGTTCTCAACCAAGATGAGGCAAAGATTTGCGAGGTTTGGATGAGAGGTATAAATCAAGCGGAGGGACAGACGGTGTTGCAAATGGTAATATTATAACATTATATTGTCTTGCATATAACCATTTGCGTATATTTAATCGTTATTATAAATTTTATTATAATTCTAGAGTCACTTGGTGTTACTTATGCGCGGTTTAAGGGATTATATCGCGGAGCAGAATCAAGAAGTAATAGTAACTGCTATTCGAACACTGAAAGAGGAATTAGATTTTGACTCGACCGCTATTAATCACTTACACTTGGCTATTTATTTATTTCAAACGGCAGTAAATGAGGTCCTCAGAATGCACAGTATAAAGCCGCATTGGATGTTTGCTTTGGATAATTTAGTGAGAAATGCTGTTCAAGCTGCTATCACCGTTTTATCTCCCGGTAGGTTTTATTTCACTCAATAAAATGAAAATAAAAACAATATAATAAATCGTCATATATTCGTGAGACATAAATGAGAACATCAATTTTTTAAGTATCAAAAAAGGTTCCGTTTAATTGACCAGATTCTCACACTTGTTATTTGGTACGCGAACCAGATGTGTAACACACGTATGTATTTTGGAATATAATGTATGTGATCGAGTATGTTAAGTGATAGAGTATGTCAACTCTAAAAATATCTCGAGGGAAAATCATTACCAATAATATGGGATCTCTCAAGAACGTCGCGTTCAGTAAGAGGGTTACCGCATTCTTGAGTTCATACATATCTGGTTTAGATAGATTTTAATAATAAAAATCGAGGAATTAAATATATTTAAATGTGTAATGAAAAAGTATTATTATAGAGATCAGCATTATCTGGAATTTTATATTGCAATTTGTGCATCTAGAATTGGGCGCTAACTTACTTGGACAAGAACGAGTGCAACCTGGTGGTCAAGGCCCTGAGGAGGGTTCGACATCTGGAGTATCGACAGTAAACTCTGTGAAATCTCAGAAAACCGCCGATTCCATTGATAATAAATATTGGAAAGAATATAGAGATCAAATGGGAGCATTAAAGATGGAAAATATGAAGCTACTTCAGGAATTGATAGAAAGCCAGAAATCCTATCAAACGCTATTGCAACAAGCCCTCGAGGAGCAAAGAGCCCAAGTCAATACATTGACATATTTATGTGAAAACATTAATAGAAAATCAGTGAGACAGGAATCAGGGTACAAAAGAGATTATTATTTTATTTATTTCAACGTATCATAGTTTAATTGACATTGTATAAAAATATGTTTTAATATATTCACAGCTATAATTCTTGTATTTTTGGAAATATATCTCAACAACTGTCATCTTCAACGCCTACCGATACGCATCGCAGTATCAACGTACATCAGCATACAGACCTTGTTGAATGGTTACAGAATCTTCAAGTAGACGAAACATCGATTGATAGGGTAAGCATTTTATGGATATCTGAAATAAGCCATAGAATAAAAATAAGTTATTTTATGTATTTCACAAATAATCTTTACGGCTTTTTAATATTCTTAGTTCCTATACGAGGAATATACACTGGAAGATATTTTGTGTCACGTTACCCGAGAAGATCTTCGCAGATTAAACTTAAGGTAACAAAATGATGCCTTATATTCTTAATAATAACTTATGCCGAGATAAATATTTTATATAATTTTAGGGGAGGAATTGAACTCAGGATATGGCAGGCTATATTGAAACATCGAGAAAGTAATGGAAATGAAGTCTTAGAGAGAGATTAATGCATTATATATTTTTCTACTATTTTTAGTAACAAAGTGTCAGTAGAGCAGCTGGAATTTAAAGCATGGGTAAATAATTATTTCAATTAGGCTGCCAGAAATATAATAGCCCAAATCACTCACGCATACTATAATATTATGCAGGATATAAATCAAACTTTTGTAAAGAGAGTTTCTTCCGTGACACAATATAATGATATTATTGGTTTATTTCGTAGTTCCTATTTTAAATTGTTATTACTCTTTACAGAGCAATTCATATATAATGATATATGTTAACAAAACGTATTATATGTATCTGTCTCAACATTTTTATTACAAATTTTAATTAATTTTGCTAGTTCCATGATATCAGAATATAAAAAAATCAGTATTTATACAGAAAATGTATTTCGTACATTATATTTTCTTATAAGAAAAATTTTGTAGCCTTGATTTTTTAAATTCGGCATTTAAAAATCAGATTAATTGTTAAATTTTTATGTTAAAAAAATAAAATAGTAACACGAAAAGTAACAATGAGATTATGAATATGAATCATCAGTAATGTAATATTTGATATTTTGATATTTTATATTTTGTTCTAAAGTGATAATGTCTCCCATTATAACAAAAGTAATAGATACTTCCGATGATAATAAAATGTAATTTATACATAAGTCAGTTTTTACAAGGTATATTCATTGTTGAATAAGCAAATCTACTGCCAAGGAGAAATCTGATTAAGAATCTGTATTTTTTTTTTAAAGAGTAATAACTTTACATATTATTATAAATGTTATTATAAATGTTATAAATATCTATTATAAATTTAATAGATAATAACATAGCGCGTTTCATCTAACAAATCTTCTCAATATTTTCACGAATGGGGACGCAATTATTTATAGTGCCTTATAAAACTCGTTCCAGTACAAGAAAGAATATTTATTATATAGAATAAATATGTGTAGTCTATATTCCTCAAATAAGATTAGCATAAAACATTTGCTGTTAAAATCTTAGATTCTCAAAGAGCAAAATTTTATTTGTGCAGTATAGATCTTCCTGAATATTATAATATTCATTGAGTGTTTTTGTGTCAATATTTGTCATGTAAATAGAATGCTTTTTGTAATTTATAGAAGAAACTTTACGTTACTTCATGAACTTGATTCAATTCAGGATTTCATTCAAGTTTTGTAGATACGGATTTTTATATAACGGAAAAATCTCGATTTTTCTTTTATGCAATATTGTAAAGAGAGAAATTCGCCTATGCTTTCTACGATGCACAATATATTTTGTACAGTCAGATTTTTAACGTATAATAATCAAGTTGAATTTCCGTAGATATCTAACTTCAATAAATTCTCGAAAGAGATTGCTTCTTCAAAAACCCAGTGTCTAATTGTTTCAAGAATATATTATATTATATGTATAAGTCAAATTCAGCTTGATTATACACACGTTGATAATACAATGACTGACAAAATTAACACTAATATGATATGTACTATACTAATACATTAAATTATATAGCAATAGATATGTTAATGCTTGTTTATAAGTATTTTAACCAAAATAATTTTGCGCTCAACTATAGGAACATTTAATAAAATTAAATGCCACAGAAATCAGAAAAGATTAAATAAACTTTAAAATATAAGTACCAAAATATATTGTTAACTATTACCGTTTTTACTCACAAAATAGGATTAATTATAATTGTTGCTCGCATGTGCGACTGTTTGTAATAAAGGAATGAATATATGTCTGAATTATTTATTATAACCATTTCTCCAAATTAATTTTTTTAGAATTAAAGATATATAAGTTAAAATATAAGTTATTTCTTGTTCAATTTTTTTACAAACATTTTGTATGATTTTATATGAAAAAATGTTTATTCATTGGAAATATTTTCGTATCTAATTAAAGTAACTATTTAAAAAAATTTTTTTAAAATTATTATTAATCTTTTTTGGACAATTTTGCAAATTCATTTTTAGTTAAAATTGAAGACAAAAAAATAAAAGCTTTTTTTTTTCAAGAAAAAAGATTACGCAGAAGATAAATACATTGGCTTTGAGTGTGACATTCTTTTTCATATATAACTATTTCATAGAAGTCCTCATTAATATGAACAAGACGTATCCTCTGCGTCTCGTCATAATATTCTGTTAAAAAATATAATCTATTGTACATAAAAATATGTGGATGATTATTTTTATATTTATTGCTTTAAGTTAAAAAGCTTTTGATTTTTAATAAAAGATTGTGACGTCTGCTATTACCGGTCATTCTTGCATGTAAAATAAAGAAAGACTAATTTAAATTATAAAGTGCAATGCTCGTCTTAAAATTCGTGTTTGGCAATAAGGAAAGCATTATTGGAAGTAAAGTTATAAAGTTATAAATTATACCGTTAAACTTGAAAATTCTCTCTTTTTTTCTCTTTTTTTTTCTTTTTACAGCTGAATCTATAAAGAGATAATCTACCTTGGTGACAGATTGTAAATAAGATTCACACACTTCTCGTAGGAGAGATATCGCTTTTCACTCAACTTGTCAGCTAAGGTTTCTTTGTTATGATCGATATCTCAAGAAGTCAATCTTCGTAGTGAAAGATAGCATTTATCACAACCTTTAACCTTTCACGCTAAACTGAAAAGTGATAATACTATTATCATTTATTTTATATTACTTTACATTTATTTAGATTTTTGCTTTTATATTGAGAGAGTATTAAAAGAATCTTTCAATTTAAAATATTTTTTAAAATGACTTTTCTGTATAACATTACAAATTAAATTATATTAAAAATTAATATAATAATATCTATATTTATATATTGGAAAAAGATTGCTTTATTATTTCTTATGGAAATATTTTGATAATTTTGACACATGTCTCAACTTTTGTTTAAATCCTTTATTTAATTGGCAAGAGAAATAAATCTATAAACACTTTAAATCTATAAACACAACTAAAATTGAAAATAAAATAATAATTGCAATATATATATATACACACACTAAAAATTAAATAATAATAATAAAATTTAATAATAAGATATCATCAGCGCTGCTTTATAGCAAGCGAATTAATGGCTATTTTATATCATTTGTCTGAAGAAAAGTATGGCCCCCTTCCTCATGGAACAGCGCGCTTAATTTCAAGAAGGAAGCATCGAGCAGCTGCAGTGCAATATTGCGAAAGTTTTCAATCTGCCAATACATTCGATGAGCGTTGAAACGCTGATCAAAGCCTCGGTCATTCGAGACAAAAGGTTTTTATCGGCATTTATACACGCACGTAAACTCTTTGCGTCTCTGCGTCAAAATACTATTGCCTTTGCTGTTGCGTTTGCACTTCGCGTGCGTGTAATCTACGCACGGTCATGGCCGCATATGAAATATTCAGAATGGCTCAAACCAGAATGGCTGACCACTCTTTAGTCTGGCACCTTTGTATCACCAGCGAGGGATGCATCTGCATGCAGATCGAACCTACATCTAGGGAAACTGGCTTATCCGCTCTTTCGCATAGAAGGAGGGAGACAAAAGAGAAGAGAGAAAGAGAAAGAGAGAGATCGCACATTCCCATTCGTTTGGTATTCTAAAAAGCGATTGGTTCTCTCTGCGTCTCTTTTCCTTGTCATGCAATATTCAAAATTTCGCAAGAGCGATGATGAAAGAAGAATAAATTAGAATTGTCGCGTTCCCGCGATAAATGCTAATTGGTTAATAAAGATTTTTTGGAATGTGGATAATTCTTGTATTGTTATGTGTCGATGATAATAAAGGAAGTAAAGACAATTATATAATAAAAAAATCATTAATTTTAATTGACAAATTTAAAAATTCTGTGTAGAAAACACTTTAGAATTTAATTAGAAATTTAATTAGAATCCAATTTTTCAAAAAAATAGATTAGAGAAAGAGAGAGAAATTCTAATTAGAAAACTTAGATTTCTCTGAGAATCTTTCATAAAGTAATTCGGAATAATGCGCGTTTTTATTGCACATTATAAATCATAATTATTGATTGATTTATTAAGAAGCACGACAATACATCAGCTGTTAAGGAAAAAGAATTAGCGAATCTGCATTATACTTTAATAACAAGAAGGCATCACATCCTTTAGATTATTTAAACTATTGACATAATTTAATGCAAGTGAAATGATATCATCTCTATTCTATTATTTTACTAGGATACCAAAAATAAGCCTCGATTATCTATGCGAATATACAAATATACCTCATAACTTGCAATCGTGTCTAGAATTGACTTTTTCATTCCACTTCTTGTACCCCGCAGGCGAGTCATCTCAGGCGGGATAATTAAATGACCTTGCCGAAGAATCCAACAAAATATGATTATGTAAATGTTACCGAAGCAGTTGGTAGAGTCTCTGGGCGATTGCTTATAATCGATTCTGCGAATAATATGCATCTTTTTTCCTTGCGTTTAGAATTAATGAGGTTTCTTCATCATCTTCACTAACATCGCAAAATTTCTATCGATGCATTCATAAAATCATCCTATTAACCGAACGTATAATATTGTATAGTCGCGGGAGAGATCGGAATATAAAAAGGACTGTTATTTTTCTTTTATCAAGCCACGCGTGAGTGACGCGTGTTTTATCGCTGAATATTTTCCCGCGTTATCTATCGAGCTCCAGCAGCCGGCGGCTGTTATTACAGCCGCTTCTAACGTTGCCCCATCATTATTAGGAATTCCATAACAGGCGGCTGCGGTGAAAAGGGCATTACGACGTATTGATGACCGACCCTATCCTCATTCGTTATAGAAAACGTATGAGGCGTCGCGAGATAAGGTAAATAATAAATAAAGAAGAATTATAATTATTAAGAGAAAAATTATAATTAACAAAGGAAGCCATATTGTTATTCTTAACGCGGCAACGCATGCACATAATAATTATGCAATACTCATCTCGCGTTAAGAAAACATCGCTCTTTCACTTGAAAATTGTTAAATCTCCAATATCGTGTAAAGCTTAGAAAGGTAAGGTTTAAGGAAAAGTTTTTACGTTGTAACGGGATAATCGGATGGTCGAGTATCCATGGGGATGGCGAGTACTGGCGCATCCCTTCCCGAGAAGGAGAGACGGGGGTGGCGCAAAATGTACAATGTTTCACGGTTAAATGGTTCGATTGTGCTTTCGGGAAAGGGACGCAATGTTCGCCTCGGTG